ATATATTTTATTGATTTTTTACAGAGAGGAAGGGAGAGAGTATAGAGAGTTAGAAACATCGATGAGAGAAACATCAATCAGCTGCCTCCTGCACATCTCCTACTGGGGATATGCCCACAACCAAGGTACATGCCCTTGACCGGAATCGAACCTGGGACCTTTCAGTCTGCAGGCCGACGCTCTATCCACTGAGCCAAACCGGTTTCGGCAGTATTTCTTAGTTTCTCTTAATTTTGCTTTTGGACAGTTGCCTATTTGTCACATGTCGCAGCAAGTAATTATTGTTTTTGAATATGTACCTTTCAAGTATTTTTTATCCTCTCTTTTACTCAGATTATGAAAAAGTATTAGAACTGGAACCAAATAACTTTGAAGCAACAAATGAACTCAAGAAAATTGATCAGGTAAACTAATTACTTAAATTAACTGCATTACTTATTAGCTTTATATGATGAAGTAGGGTTTTAGCATAGACTTTGTACTATAGATTATTTAATATAGACATTATTCTAATTTTAATTTTTTGTACTATAGACTTTTACCAAACAACTTGCAAATAAGAAGTAGTATAATGGTATTTAAAGATCCTTAATCATCATTTTAAAAAGTTGTCTGAGATCTTTAGAACTACTGTGCTTTACTTTTTTTCCCCCAGGTGACAGAATTATTTTTCATTATTCCACTAATTTTCTTTTGTTTTGCTTTGTTTTGGCTTGTGTTTTGATTTCTGTATGAAAAACTTTTGCATATTTCTTTGATTTTTAAGTTGTTGCATCTTTGTAGTTTATATCATAGCATATTTATGTACTAATGTTTTTAATAGTAAGAAAATAATTATATAAATGTAAAATTTGCTTCAAATGATACTGAACAGTTACATATTCCTTTCACTTTGCTGTTGAATCAGTTATCATTATTTTGCCATCTATTGAAACTATGAGAAAAAAGTGACACTGATTAAGGAAAATCTGCTTTTAAATATGGCCATTATTTATTGCACATAAAAACCTGTTGGTAAATATATCAACTTGATTGTAATTGTGAACCGTGCTGTATATTTTTGCATTTTGTCCTAAATCAAATAATGACTATGAAAATTAAATTTGAGAATTTGGTTATGTGGTCGTAATTACCTACTTTCTTTTTGAAAATAGTTCCTTGAACAGTAACTGGCCTGTGTAGAAATTCAATAAATATTTGTTGAATAAATAAACAAGCACCTACCTTTAGTGGATACTACTTATTTTAATTGGAATAAGATGCACATTAAATTTATTATAGTCTTTTGCCTTTTATTTAATAAGTAGAAAGACTGAATTAGTAAAAATATTATTTTGTGAAATGTAGCAAAAACTCCAATATATTTGAGTAATTTATTATTTTAGAGTCAAATATGTATGCATCTTGCATTACCTGTTTTAGTTTAGCTGCTATGTCTCCTAGGCTTTAACATCCAAAGAAAACTCACACCCAAAGGAAGCTGACACAGTGATTAAGTCAACTGAAGAAGAGAAAAAACAAATGGAAGAGCAGCAGAATAAGCAGCAGGCCATTTCAGAGAAAGATCGGGTAATCCAGAGGAAATCCACCATATATATGTTTTGCTGAGTTTACTCTTAGTTTCTTATATATCAGTTAAGGTTTTGTCTTTTCTAATATTACATTAAAATTCTTTTTTCAGTAGGAACTGAAAATTAAATAAATATAATAAAACTTCTGAAGCCTACTAGTTCAAAATTTGAGTAATTGATGACCTTTAATACATAATTTAAAAAAAACATTTAATTTTAGGGAACAAATTACTTTTGAGCATTTTTAAAAAATATATATTTTATTTATTTTTTACAGAGAGGAAGGGAGAGGGATAGAGAGTTAGAAACATCAATGAGAGAGAAACATCGATCAGCTGCCTCCTACACACCCCTATTGAGGGATGTGCCTGCAACCAAGGTACATGCCCTTGACTGGAATCGAACCTGGGACCCTTCAGTCCACAAGCTGACGCTCTATCCACCGAGCTAAACCAGTCAGGGCTACTTTTGAGCATTTTAACATATTTACTAGTACATGTAGTTATAGATTTAACAGAAATAAATTACAATTTGTTCTTATAATTATTTTCATTAGTTCACACTAGACTATCTGATAAAAAAAAAATTACAGTAGAAATCCTGAGTTGAGTTTTAATTTAATATATTTACAGCTTTTAATGGACCCATAGAAGACTCCTAATAAATACTTATGGAATGATCATTGATTGTGATATACCTGACTTCGATTATAAGTAAACGTTACAATAAAATCTAGTATACACATTTCAATACAGCTTAATTTATCCTATGTTTATGTTTATTAATGCTACTGAAGAGTGAGTTGTTCAGTTCTGATACTCTGTTCTTTCACAAAAATTATGTGAGTTACAAACATCTTTTGTACAGCTTCTAAATAACTAAAGAGTATAATATTTGGGCCTCTTTATTAAAATGTGTTTAAAGTTGAGCTTTGTGTAATACCTAATTAGTATAATAATGGTTAATGATACAGAGTAATAGAGTAGTATACTTTCTTTTTTGGAGCTGAAGAGAATAATAACATTCTATAAAACAATTCAAACTAACAAATTCTAAAACATGTATCATGGACTAGATTTTTAACAATTAAAATATGCTTTAATTATTTATATAATAAACTGATGAGTGGTGTCCTTGTAGTGAATTCAACTAATTTTTTTGCATATGTTTTCATTCTTCTCCATACTTCTTTCCAAAATGATAGGGGAATGGATTTTTCAAAGAGGGAAAGTATGAAAGAGCAATTGAATGCTATACTCGAGGAATAGCAGCAGATGGCGCTAATGCCCTTCTTCCAGCTAACAGAGCAATGGCCTATCTGAAGATTCAGAAGTAAGTATTGGTTACATTTAATGCTTTTCAGGTTGAAAATGAAATTTACCTTAAATTGGCATATTGGCTAAATAAATTAAAATTTGTTTACTCTTAAGCATTAAAATTAAAATAGAGAGAAGAGAGAGAGAGAGAGAATGTCATAGTACATATTAAGTACATTTAGCTCTCATATATGTTTTTCCACTTTAATAGTCTGGCATTACACAGCTTAACACTTTTAAATTGCTTTATGCATGTTGTTCTGAATTAGTGATTTGAAAATTATTTTTAACTTTAGAATCCTTTGGGCAAAATCTTAATCTGGAAGTAGTCTTTGTATATATACTTATATGTATATTTATACATACACATATATAACAAAAGGGAATTGCTGTCATTGAAACTGCTAATTGATTATATATGAACTAAAACTTGATTTCTGGATATTCTCAGGGGCTCCAGGCTGGGCAATCAGCAGGGTAACATCTGATGGCAGAATCTATGTCTTATATTTCTTTGTATCTTTGTAATAATATTGTACACACTAGTGACAGAATTTTTTTTAAATGCTATAAATATTATAAATAGGAATTAAAAAAATTTTTTTAAAATATATTTCTTTATTGATTTCAGAGAGGAAGGGAGAGGGAGAGAGAGATAGAAACATCAATGAGAGAGAATCATTAATCGGCTGCCTCCTTCACGCCCCCCACTGGGGATGGAGCCTGCAACCCAGGCATGTGCCCTTGGCCGGAATTGAACCTGGGACCCTTCAGTCTGCAGGCCGACGCTCTATCCACTGAGCCAAACCGGCTAGGGCAGGATTTTTAAATTTTTTTATGCCATGGATTCCTTTGACTGCACTGTGAAATGTTCTCAAAATTATTATTATTATTTTTTAAATATATTTTATTGATTTTTTACAGAGAGGAAGGGAGAGAGAGAGAGAGTTAGAAACATCAATGAGAGAGAAACATCAATCAGCTGCCTCCTGCACACCCCCTACTGGGGATGTGCCCGCAACCCAGGTACATGCCCTTGACCGGAATCGAACCTGGGACCTTTTCAGTCCGCAGGCCGATGCTCTATCCACTGAGCCAAACCAGTTTCGGCGCAAAATTATTAAATGTATAATTAATTTTACATTTAGGATTATAAAGGAAACCAATTATATTGAAATATAGTTTTAAAGATATTAAAATTTGCGATATCCTGATATATATACTTTTTAAAACACATTATATAATGAGAAACTACATTTAAAATATAGGCAAGTTGAAATTAAAAGTTTTTAAAAGATGTTAATGTGAAGACTTGAATAAGGACACTAGAATTTGGGGTGATCTTTGACACATCTTCCACATATTGATTAACTAATGAAGTGTGGGTAAGGAATACACAGAAATCGGCATTGATAATTATGTTACTAGTGTGATAACATGACTTCACTCTTTGCCATTTGAGTGACTCCTAGGGATAGAATTGTGTGGTTGTTGGCTAGCTATGACATAGGAGCATCTATAAACAGGGATACTACTAGGGGCCCAGTGCATGAATTCGTGCACCTTGAAAGGAACTGTGGGCTGCGAGGCTGCACTGGGCACAAGGTGGGTCTCAGCCCATCCTCCACGCCCTCGGTCCCCCGTCTGCCAGCAGCCCCGCTTCCGCCGCTGCTGCTCCCATGTGCTAACAGCGCTTGCCCCACTCGCACCCGCTGACAGCATGGAGCGATTGGGGCCAGTGCCAGCAGTGGGTGTGATCGGCAGCTGCTGCCCCAATCGCCCCTCAGGAGCAGGGGGAGGTGGAGAAGTCCGCAGAGGTGATTGGGGCTGGCTGCAGCTGCTCGCACCTGCTGACGGCACTGAGCGATTGGGACCAGTGCCAGGCGCCAGCAGCAGGTGCAAGCACCAGGCGGGACCACAGCATGCGGGAGCAAAGAATTTTCAGTAACCACCAGAGGCTTGCCCTGATGACAGCGATCGGTGCCCCGCCTTGGTTTGGCGCCCTCGCTCACCTGCTCCACCATCCGACTGTGGCCAACGCCCACCAGCAATAAAACTAGTTTGGCGCCCTCGC